CTCAGACATTTTGCTTCAAAAATCGTTGAAACATGTTATTTCGTGATATCACTAGCATATGGTATTTTTTTGGCATAAAAAGATTGATTTGTCTCATTTTTGAGACTAAGTTCCCGGGCGTGTAAAAATAAGCTTTCGTAAAAAGAAGTAAGCTAGTTGGTGTAGAATTTGACGCTCTTTCTTATGGCACCCTTGAAAAAAAATTACGCCTGGTTTTTATATGAAAATAAATTTGTTTTTCGTAAGTTCCTTACAAAATACCTTATCTTGACTATCTTTATTTTACCTTTCCACAGTTATTAATGTCTTCAAAGTTTGTTGCCAATACATATGTGGACTATACAACTTTTAATGCTCTATCTAATGGTATGGTTTTTATCTAGTTTTATTACATTAAAGAAGTGGAAACCTTTTGTTTTTAGCTAAAATAGGGTTATTGTGGGGTATAGATTTTCCACCCTTTAGTTTCTTCGACCATAAAAAAGTTAAAGTATAGCTTATATAAGTCTATATTTTTTTCAGTAGATAACTAATCATCTCCTCTTTCGAATAGATACTGACAAGATTCTTTTTGACTTAAACTAATGAACATTAAGGCAATACTTTTATACTCTTGAGAGGGGGGTCCTATAATTATGCAAGCAGTGAAATTCAAAATTTCTTGAATCTAAATATTATAAATATTTAACCAAATACAGATCAATATAGCACATGATAGGTGCTTTAGTGGTGTCTATATATATGACACTAGATCCCTTATCAAAGCTTCTTCAGTTGGTGAAAACTTTATTATTCTCAGACTTGTAGGGGGGGTCCTATAATTTTGGGAACCCCTGTATTTACAAATGCCCATAAAACTAAATTTGTCATAAGTTATTGCGAAAGTACGTATATATTCTCAAAGCAAATTAAATCCTCTATATTTATATATTTTCTTGCATTTATTCACTACAGCAAAGAAACGCAAGATAAAACAAAAATATACAGGTTGATAGAGAATTTCATGCGCTTTCAAAATATATACTTGCCTTTGTAATAAATTGTTCTAAAATTAAAAATACTTTTGAAAAAATGGATGAAGAAACAAAAATGCATTTCCAGGGAATCTGACGATGAGGGTACTTTTGTTGTGCTTGAATTTATTTTTAGTCAACAAGTGAAATTCAAAACTTACATGTATAGATTTGTAGAGAATTCTTTGGGCTATCCGAATATATTTTTATTTTTCCAAAAATGTTAATTTATAATAATGATTTATTGAAAATACTGTGTGAAATTATTTTTGGCCAGGGGAATATATTAAGTTTGAATCAATTGCATATGATATCACTGTTATAAACTGGTATTAATTAATAAAATAGTACAGATGGTAAATCATTATTTTTATCCGTAACTTTTTACTTAGGAATATGCATCAAACTAATTAGAAGGTCGACAATGTAGTTGAGGGATGAAATTTTCTTCACCATCAATATGTATCCATTTTTAAATAAAGTTACAATTTGATGAAGTACATTGAATTATATTTGAAAGTCAATTGGTTGGAATTTTCCAAGTTCTCGATTCTTTCTCTTCCTCTACACTTGATGTAATACTATTCGTAAAAATTTCAATGCATAGGAAGAGAAAATGAATAAAGCTCGCTTAACTGTTCTCCATACAAAAGAAGTTAAAATATCAACCAATGAGCTTGAAATCTATCTTATATTAGATGAATAAGTCTGAATCAAGGTTTACGCTCTTGAAAATTAAAAACGATGAACTATCTTGAGCTTCAGTGTGTAAATGTAAGATTTAAATGTGTATTACAAGAAGGCACATTCCTACACTATATATTACCAACATGCACTCAAGTATACATCGTACACCTTGTCTACTTTCACACATTATTGTACTCAGAATACGAAATATGGAGCATTCGTCTAAAAGTACCAAAAATTTTGAGAACCTCGGTTGGGATGTGAAGATCAGAATGAACAGAAAGAACGAATCGACCATCTCTAAGCACAACTATACAAAGCCCTACACCTATGACTTCGCTCTATTCATTCACGTCCATACTCACTGTAGAAGATGATTTTACACAATATAGTATTCTCTTAACTAACGAGAATATGGATCTGGTTGGGAGTTGGTGTGAGTGTAATAAGAGCAGCCCTACACATCGACATCACATCACCCAAATTCGGTTGGCTCCGTTCAGTTCAAAACAAACATCAATCGACTTTCTCTCTGACACAAATAGAAAGCATATAAAACTATGAGCAAACGTAATATGAATCATAAACAATAACGTGTCGAGTCAAACAAGATTGGTATGCAAGCAGAACACAAATACAATTAACAAACAAAATAGCTTCAGATGATCAAAACAGAATAGAGTTTTTTTAAATATAGTATTAATTCTTCAGAAATTAATAGGTTATCATTGTAATAATTATTCTCTTCTTTCCAATATGCTCTTTTTTATCTTATCTTTCGCTATAAATTAGTATTATGAGACCAAATATTATTCCAATATTCTCATTCAATAAGTTTTTTTTTTGTGAATTATTCTAATTATTCATCTTACGTTATATTCTTTTTCTTTTTATACTTGGTAACTTATTGTTTGATTCATTCTTTTTTTACTTCGTCGTTGTTGTGCAATACTCACAAGAAAAATGACGCGTAGATTGCATCGATGAGTCATTTGCCACTTTTCTAACATATATATTTGAGAGACATTAAAACTCTACTTAACAATAGCCTTCTCGAACAAGAAACATATCTGTACTAAGAATAATGCAAATATTTATACAATCAGCTGATCATAATTGGAATTTTGGTGGTAACAGTGATGAAGTATGGAATGGTTGGTCTCATGTTGAATCAAAAGATAATTTTTGGGGATGTGGCAATAATATTGGACTCACTTTACAAAAAGGTATAAGTTTTCAATAATATGATAAATGTTCAATAATATATATATATATATAATAGGTGATAATACATGTACATATCGTGCTTCATATTACATGCCAAGCTTTTGTTTGGTAAAAATAAATGGCAAACCAACAAATGGGACATTCAATTATGATCGAAGCAAATCAAAAGCCGAAGTTTATAATGCTTTTACAGAATTCATTGAAAGTCAAATTGATACTAACAATTCATAATATATGTTGAGACACAAAAAAAAAGACTTATATTTTCTAAAATTTAAATTGATACAAATAATACTAAAAAGAAAATATAAATGAGAAGAATAATTCTCTTCAAATTCATTTTAATTTATAAATATTTTCAAGATATAAGAACAGCGAAATTTAAATAGCAAAGATTAATTAGTATTTTATGAATTTTTGTATTCTACTATTAACCATGTCTGCGACGTATAAATTTCGTTGAGTATCAAGTGCAACCAAAAAAGGAGTACTAAGTAAAATAGCACTATTTCCACTTACACTTGTAACACCAGCAATAGTTGTTCCATTTAATTGACCAGCTAAGAATAGTTGTATACGATGATTTAATGTATTGGCAACATAAACATTACCCATGTTATCAACTGTTACACCTACAGGACTATTAAGTTATTTTGATGAATTACCAAGTAAACCAGTTATACCAGCAATTAATGTCCAATAACTATCATCTAAACTCCAACGAACAATATTATGAGCATCATAATTAGCAATAATTAAACTGTTAGATGATGAATCAAAATAAATTCCTCTTGGGCCAAATAACTGTACCTTTACCATTTCCTCCTGTAACAATATAACCAGATGAAACATTTGATCCATAACCCATAATACGATTATTGTTCGTATCAGCTATATAAAGTGTGTCTGTATTTGAATTACGTGTAATACCATATGGATTATCTAATTCATTGTTTGATGAACTTGCTGAAGCTGAATAAATAAAATAAAAATAATCTTTTTTTCAAATTAATTGAGTTGATCTATATTTGAAAAAAATTATTTTAGAAATTAAACAAAACAATTAATTCGATATTGTTTTCTTTTTTTAAAAATTTACTAATTAATATCCATTTCAAATTAAAAGAAGGGTGAGTATTTTAGGAATAATTTTCGATAGGAACTCGATATAGATATGTGGTTTTCACCGTTAAAAGGAGAAAATGAAACTGCATCGAAGAAAGTGAATTTTTCATCAAAAAATTAGAAAAAATGTCAATTTTTTGTTAAAAATCTGCCGAAAACGTTTAGTAAAACATGAATAACTGTTGATTGGCTAAACCTTTTTAACGCCGAACTTATATAGATTATTGAACTTTAGTTAATAATTCTGTTGCAATGTTGAAAAACAAAATTCCAAAACATTTACATTACACAATGTTTTCTGTTTTAGAAACTTGGCGAGTAGTCCTGAGAAAACTTTGGTATTCAGGGGTTGATGCAGTTTCATTTTCTCTTTTGAACGGTGAAAACTGCAGATCTATATCGAGTTCCTATCGAAAATTATTCCACAAATACTTATCCTTCTTTTAATTTGAAATGGATAATAGTCTCTTATTTGAACCAGCTATTTGTGTTCCTGATGATGCACCATTCGACCAAAACATAACTCAATTATTGTTTGTATCTGCTATATAGAAATTCATACGTGAATCAACAATAATTCCAGTTGAATAATATAAATTATCTAAAGCAGTAGTTGCTGTTGCATTTTTACCAGCTACTGTTGTTCCAGCTGATGAATTTTTTAAATATTTTTGAACTCGATGATTATCGGAATCAGCAACATAAAGCGAAATAATTTAAATTTAATGTTAAATGATAAGGAGTATATAATTGATTTGAAGCTGAACCTGATGAACCTCTTATGCCAACAATTGTCAAGCCTGTTAAATTCCAACGAAGTTGAGTACTAGTAGCTATTTAAAATAATTATATTTTATAATGATAAAAAATCAATTATGATTTATGGTTTTTTTTTAAATTTATAAAACACAAGAAAAGAGATGAAATGTTTACAATAAATAAAAGAAGTTCTGTTTTTGTCTATATAATATGAAAAAGTTAGGATAATAATCAGATATAATACGCTTTTTACTTGTTGTGCTTGTTGTTTCCATAAGACGAATAAGTAAATAAATTGAAATAGCCATTGCTGCTATAGCAAATACAAAAATAAATATACTAAAAATAATAAACAGTGTGTTAAAACGTTTGTTACAATTATAATTATAATTTAGTTTTGAGTTTAGTTCAGAATTGCTTTGAATAAATGAAAAGTTATTAGGAAAAATATATTATTGATCTTGTTTATCATCAATATTCAATGGTTGATAATAAAGATTATTTCTATATAAAAATGAAAAAAAGAAATTTTTACTGAAAATAGAAAATTTCTATTTGATGATAATTCAACATAATTTATTGATAATTCTGAAATTGACCAAGGTTGTCCATACTGATTTTTATTATTGTTTAATTTAATTTGTTTTGTTGATGATTGTGGTTGAATATCTAATGATTTAGTTAATATATTTGATTGAATATCTGACATATAATTATTTCCATAATGTTATCTATCATCATATGGTCTTATCTAATAGAAATAATAATTTATTTATATAATATTAATTTTGATGATCATTGAGGATTAATTCGTCTTAGAACAATTGGAACACGATTATATTCATATTGATTCATCGATCTGTTATAATAATAATAAAAAAAACACAAAATATTTTTCAAGAAAATTATTAAAATATAATTATTGAGAAAGAAGCCTTAATAATATATTTGATTGTGTCATTATTTTTCGTTTGGGTGTTGATATTCATATTATCTCACTTCTTTTTTTGCTCTTTACTATGTTTTCTTCTATTGATAGATTTTATTATCAATAGAAAGCGTGTTATTTAATTAATTGTTACAACTATATTTCATTGATATTCAATGTTCAACTTTCAAAAAAGAATTTACATTCAATAAATAAATAAATTTTTATAGAATTGAAATGAAAAAATAAATATATAATTAGTTTTCTCTATGATCAGATTATAAAACATATCTCATATTAAATTTTCTTATTTTAATTTAAGAATTTCATTAAATGAGAAAAAAAGAAAAAAGGGAATATCAATAGTTATCTGAAGAATTAATTCTCATATTTGAATTTTGAACTCTATCGTTATAAAAATAAATCAACATGAATAAATATCTAGGTTAATTTATTCTATTAAATGACTAAAATAAATGCGGAAACTTCGGATTTAAATCCGAGAGTTATGTGTACTTCAAAAAGTGAATCATACAAATCAATCATCCTAGATTATCTCAATATCAAAATTATACTGTCAAATCTACCATTTAAAATCTTGATTTATATTCCGCGTTGCCAAACCAATAGGATATGGGACCGAACTAAGCTCAAGTTTGAACTCTGCACCTTGATTTACTCGAAGAAAGTCGTTTTTCCTATAACTTCATTTCTATTGGTCACTGCACAACTAATAGTATTCCGATGGAAGTGCAGTACACATTCGAGTTCTCCATACCTGAAAACCTCGAAATATCATCAGTGTAATCGGAAGATAAAGCTCGACTTGTGGATCAATTAGATTGTGGATCAAAATATAACCTAGTTATCAGGGCTCGAAACGGGCCTCATTTTTATGGCCCAGCCCGGCCCAACGCGGCCCAGCTAAAGT